TACTGTTATATTTATATAGATAACATACAACAGACAGTACTGTTATATTTATATAGATAACATACAACAGACAGTACTGTTATATTTATATAGATAACATACAACAGACAGTACTGTTATATTTATACAGACGACATACAACAGACAGTACTGTTATATTTATATAGATAACATACAGCAGAAAGTACTGTTATAATTATATAGACAACATACAACATACATTACTGTTATATTTATATAGATAACATACAACAGACAGTACTGTTATATTTATATAGATAACATACAACAGACAGTACTGTTATAATTATATAGACAACATATAACAGACATTACTGTTATATTTATATAGATAACACCACAACAGACAGTACTGTTATATTTATATAGATTCTGTTATATGTTATCTATATAAATATAACAGTACTGTCTGTTGTATGTCGTCTGTATAAATATAACAGTACTGTCTGTTGTATGTTATCTATATAAATATAACAGTACTGTCTGTTGTAGGTTCAGTACTGTTATAATTATATAGACAACATACAACAGACAGTACTGTTATAATTATATAGATAACATACAACAGACAGTACTGTTATATTTATATAGATAACACATACAACAGACAGTACTGTTATATTTATATAGATAACATACAACAGACAGTACTGTTATATTTATACAGACGACATACAACAGACAGTACTATTATATTTATATAGATAACATACAACAGACAGTACTGTTATATTTATATAGATAACATACAGCAGACAGTACTGTTATAATTATATAGATAACACACAACAGACAGTACTGTTATATTTATACAGACGACACACAACAGACAATACTTTTATATTTATATAGATAACACACACAACAGACAGTACTGTTATATTTATACAGACGACACAAAACAGACAGTACTGTTATATTTATATAGATAACACACAACAGACAGTACTGTTATATTTATACAGACGACATACAACAGACAGTACTGTTATATTTATATAGATAACACACAACAGACAGTACTGTTATTATTATATAGACAACATACAACAGACAGTACTGTTATATTTATACAGACGACACACAACAGACAGTACTGTTATATTTATATAGATAACACACAACAGACAGTACTGTTATATTTATACAGACAACATACAACAGACAGTACTGTTATATTTATACAGACGACATACAACAGACAGTACTGTTATATTTATACAGACGACATACAACAGACAGTACTGTTATATTTATACAGACGACATACAACAGACAGTACTGTTATATTTATATAGATACTTTTTATTAAACAAATACGACCCTTTTCAAGCTATTCGTAATGGATCCCTAATTCTAATAAGAACCATTACAGAAAGCAATGGAGAATATGCTACAATATGTCAACCACACTATAACTACTACATTCAATGCTTTTTGACTAATACCAGGTCTCATCAGGCCGAATAAAATATAAGATATATATATATATCAACAATTTTCAAGAACAACAACTGTTAGGGTGTGAATCAGATTAAGCAAGTGAATTGTAATTCTTATCAATATATTTAAATTATTTACAAACCAGGTTTTTAGGGTAATAGTTCATAACACAATATTATTTATTTCATTGTTAACAAGGGTTATTTATTTATTTTTATAATTATTTCATTTACTGTCATTCACCAGAACTAGTAAACTTCTTGTGCCGATAGTGGGTGTCATACAACCAAAGTGTCAACTGGAAATATCACATTAGTAATTCTAAGAATCAATGAGCGAAAGCAAAGGATGATTTATTATAATATGTCAACCATGCTATATCAAGTGCCGACTACGCCTTTTGTCAAATACCAGAGCTCATCAAGCCACACGGGATACGACAGTCATAATAGCGGTCTAGGTGCTATATGTATATATATACAACATTATTTAACCCGTATTTTATGAAATATATCAATTAAACAAATAAGTACTAATCTAATGTAAAATCTGTAAACTGATATTGCAATTAACTATTACAATGTCTAGACATTTTGGAACGTAAGTGACAGAGGTGTCTGAACCGGGGATACTAGGGGTGCAAGAGCACCCACACTTTTACATATTTGAGCTATGTAGTAACTGTAAATTATATTGTTATATGAATGTTCTGATTAAACTGCCTTTAGCAACACGGGAGCTACTTTTATCAACTCCTTATACTGTCAACATCTCATTGTAAAATCTGCATGTCTAGCCAAGCAAAAAGCTACACAAAGGGCTATCTGTGCTCTGCTCACTACGGGTATCGAAACCCGGTTTCGAGTGATGTAAGTCCGTAGACATATCGCTGGGACACTGGGGTGCCCCCACTTTGCAACTCCTTCCTACGCCACTGAGTGGTCAATTAATATTCATAGTAAGTCGACCTATAAATACTAACAATTCACAGCAATTCACCAACGATTTTTAAATATATAAAAGCAGCAGAAAGAGAATAAAGTAATAAGATTTAAATTGAAGAACAATGAGACAATGGATTTTATTTCCTTCTGCTCCAGCCGTTCCTATTTTTTTAACCGATAGACTAGAGGGAAGGCAGCTAGTCAACAGCACCCACCACCAATTCCTGGGCTACTCATGTTTGACCATATACTGGGATATGACCATCACTCTTATAACGCACCCACGCCTCCATAGTGCGAAGCGCGACTTTCCTTTTTCTGTTGCGGTGACGTAATACTAACACCGGACCCGCAGATCCCCAGCCGGACATGTTAACCACTCTGTCACGCTCGGACCTAGTTTTATTGAAACAATAACAACAACATTACAGTGAAAGTTGATCTTGCACGTACCTAGCCAAGGTTGGTCCCTACTTATCCAATCATCACTGCTGGAGTATGTGAACTCATACAGGTAGACAGGCATGTTGTGGTGGTCAGCCAGTAACTGAACATGTCTCATACAGGGAACCTTAAACCCAGCATCTCCAAGGATCTGAAATATATATATATATATAATACTTAGGGAATTTATTTAAGAAATTAAGTATAATATCTATGAAATTATTTTATCTTTCATCCTGCCATGTGTTATATGGAATAATTGAGTATCATATATAAAATAAAAGTCGGATAATCCGTGGCGGGTAGAGCACAGGTATCCCATTGTGCAGCTTTGTGCTTAATTACAAACAAACAAACAATCTTTCTCCCAGTCCCCCACCCCCCGTGTAAAGGTCTGGATTCAACAATGACTATAAAGATGTTTCATTCAAGATGTTCAACGTGTCGTAGCCAAATAGGTGGTTGAAATATATTATTTAAAAAAAATTTCATTTCATATTCCAATATTACCAATTTTCTTTACAAAAGCATAGTGCATTTAGTTCTTTTATGTGTCTTAGAAGTCCCCATTTTGTTCAATGATTTGTTTGTTTGTAGTTAAGCACAAAGCTACACAATGGGTTATCTGTGCTCTGTCCATTACGGGTATCGAAACCCCGTTTCTAGCGTTGTAAGCCCACAGACACTGTGCCACTGTGGGGGCTTGGTCAATGAAACCTTCCTAATAGTTGTAGTTTTTATTTTTCTGTGAGAGGATACAAATTATTCTTTCTTAATTTGAAAATATGTCGCTGTTAAAAGTTTAAATTACAGTCTAATTTTTTAAATAGTTCAATGAGGTATATTTTTATTGGTAAGCGCAATATTCACAGAAATAATATAGAGCACGTTGAGAACGCGCCGTTTTGTGAAGTTAACGTGCTTCGGCAGTATACTGTCCTGTGATGGTTTCAATGTAAGCAACTTTGCATATTGTATCTCTCTACTCAATTGAAAACTTGATGAACATTTTGGAACCTTGGTATTTGAACTTGTGATGCACGTGCATTGCTCTGCTTTGGGTAGGTCAGTGTGATTATCACTATTACCGTTAGGCTACCTGGAGTCCTCTTCACTTCAGGGAGATCCTATAGGAAATATATGGAACCATCCCAGAAGCAGCTGAAGTTGACACTAGCGTTCTACTTAAAGGGCCCGGCATGGCCAGGTGGATAAGGCGTTCGACTCGCCCTTTCAGCCGTGGGGGCGTTATAATGTGACGGTCAATCCCACTATTCGTTGGTAAAAGAGTAGCTCAAGAGTTGGCGGTAGGTGGTGATGACTAGCTGCCTTCCCTCTAGTCTTACACTGCTAAATTAGGGACGGCTAGCGCAGATAGCCCTCGTGTAGCTTTGCGCGAAATTCAAAAACAAAAACAAAACAATCTACTTAAAGACCGACTTCGCGACGCCACCTATCTGGAAAGCTGAAGTCAGTAAATTAGCAGTACCTTCTGAAAGCAAATTCTAATTTCGGTCATTGTAAGTAACAGACGAGAGAGTGAAAGTGATTTTAGGCCTTCATTTACGTGATCATCTAAATAGTTTATTTCTTTAAATTTGAGCAAATTGCCTTGTTGGATTTATAAGTGTTTAATAACTAACTTTGTTACTGTTACTTATCTTTCTTCAATGGAAAAAAAAACTATATCAAGTTATTACTATTTCTTAACCAATTTGCGAGTTTTGAAACAACTATTTGTGGGTAATAGATTTATTTCTTTACAACGTTTCGTCTATAACACTGAGACATGATCACATACAACATTTAAGGGACAAGTAGTTGTATTTTAAATGTTGTACGTGATCATGAGACACGAAACGTTGTACAGAATTAAACCTATTACCCACAAATAGATATTTCAAAACTTCATCTTATTCGTAAGTTAAATAGGTACATCTTAACAAAAAGACTGCAAATTTTCTAATACTCCGACAGGAATTAAATCTTAGTATATAAAAATACTATATTTTATAAAATATGCAGTGTTGACATGACTAAGTTTCACTTTAAAATTCATAATTCATTGAATTATTATTTAGTTTTAATCAACAAAATCTCCGTCCCCTGTTGACCATGGCATTTTAGTAATTAAAGGTGAATATTTACCTGCGTTAAAATATGAATATCAATAGGAATATCGTCTGCTGTCGCGTTCAATATCGAGTCGTTGAGTCCATTAGGTTGGCGCCCTCTAGTAACATACTCGGTGTACACAGCGTGAACTAATGCTTCCATGTTGTCTAAATTATTAACTTTTGGGACCAGTAAATTTTTTAAATATTCTTTTAACTTGGTTTTTGTAGGATCTTCATCTAAGCCAAATACAGAAATATGAAATATCACAAACAAATCAATACTAAAATGTAAAATTTTTTGAATATATACTTAAATTTAAGCATTGATTTTATTTACAAACGTAATCTTTATTTCTGAGCTTAAGAGGTCAGAAGAAGCAGTGACCTTCAGATGATTGCAAGAAAAGTATGGAATGAAAGGAACGTAACCACATTCTTCGACCAGCATTTTATTGTTAAAACTACACAGCTAGAAACGTGTGTATGAAAATGTTTGAAAATTTTTAGTGAACTGAAGTTTTCACCTTATTGAGTAAATAAAATAAGAAATATTAAATATGCCTTTGCATACCACGTATTTGTGTTCCTTAGCCTAGCCCTTATATTTAAATAAAAGTATAGAGTTGTTACTTGGACATTTTATTTTATTTTTGTGATTGATTTCTGCTTCTAATTACCCAGCTCAATCACCTCATTTATATATATATATTTAGGTTGCTCTAACTTCAAATGTACTTATACAACTTAATATGAATCATATAGAAATAAACTTACAGAGTTCCATCCATATAGAGACTTCATCTTTTGTGAAACCAGTCATGAAGGGAACCATGTTATATCGGCCTTGTTGAATCAGGTTTTCTGGATAGTCTGGTAAGAAATATCCATCCACCACTGGGGCAAAACTGATTCCGAGAGCATCCTAGAAATGTTTTTATTAAACTGGTAAACAACAAGCAGATCAAGGCGATTGTAAAAATATACATAGTTTGTACCTTTCATATTATACAGAATCCATCTTCATCAGTTTTCTGTAAAAACAATTTAATTATAAGGTTAATGTGAGTAAATACAAAAGAAAAACAAAACAAAGAAAGATACAAGGGAATAGTTAGGGTTAAATAATGATAAATGAACAATTAAAAATAAGTTTTAACTGAAAAAAAAGCTGGTAATATGACAAGAATATGGCTTTATTTGTTAAATAACAGTGTTTCCCCGGTAAGTTTATGGACTTATAACGCTAAAATCCGAGGTTTGATTTCCTGTGGTGGACAGAGAGCTGATAGAACCTTTTTTAACTTTGTGTTATAGCAACAACAACAATTAAAAATTATTTTTCTTATCATTAATTATTCTATGGGATACGCCTTAATTTATCCTCCCCAGTGACCCAGCATTAATTATATGGACTTATAACGCTAAAAGTCAGGTTATGATGACCGTTGTGGGCATAGAATATTGTATAGCTCTGCATTTAACAACAAACAAAGCTCTAAAGTAATATGGTGGCCAGTTTTATCTTTGTGATGAGGAATGGTAAAACATTTCAACCACTGAACGCTGCTCTACTTTATATAGACATAAACATGTTGAAAAATTTTGGCAGGTATTAGAGAAAGTCAACTTTATCAGTTTTTATCTTCCACTTGTTTTACGTAATGATACTAAACTTCTGAGATTAAAAACGTTTTTATTAACACAATAATAATTATCTTCAGTCCTTAAAGAAAGAGTAAACTTCTTAATTTAGTTCATTCATGAAAGCATTTCTCATGCAATTATTCTTTGTAGTCATGGGTTTCCGCAGGAGGGCAAGGGGGCACTTGCCCCCACCCCCGAAAATGAGAAACATAATTCTATCTTTATTCATTCAGTTTATGTATATGAATTTACATGGTTTTTTATTCACTTCACAATTTCACACTACTCCCCCCCCCGGAAAAAATTCTGCTGACGTCCATGTTTGTAGTAGCCACTTCTCTATGTTTAAATATAAGAAAAATTACTTTGACGACACTAAATACTAGTTACGTCAAAGACTAGACCAAAGTAAATAAAGAACGATATAGTCAAATATTAAAGACTTTAGTTTATGTCAAGGATGAGCCTAAGAAAAACATTATGGTTGACAGAAAAAACTAGTTTATGTTTGAGGCTAGGCCTAAGAGACAATGATATGGTCGACACTAAAAACTAGTTTATGTCTGAGGCTAGGCCTAAGAGACAATGATATAGTCGACACTAAAGATTACTTTATGTAAAAAGCTAAGCCTAAGAAAAACGATATGATCGACACCAAAGACTAATTTTTATTAGCAGTTAGCCTTTAGAGACTGGATGTGACGCTGGTGCACGACATTTGCCAGCCTGAGCTGTTTCAGAAGCATATTGTTGCGTCAGCGAGGTCACGTGACTAGTATCACGCCACCTCTTTCTAGAAATATCCTGTTCTTCCTGAATGCCCTAGCGTTTACTAGATGTGTGTTAGTCTTGTATATATAAGACCGGCCACGAAGCGACGCGGGGAGAATGAGTAATTGAACTGAGTATTGTTGAAGTTGAGCATGTGAGACGTTCGTTGTTATAGCGTTTGTTATAGCGCGACTATTGAAATTAAGTGTATCGCAAAGTTATATTCAGAAAGAATAAACCAGTTTTATTTAAGAAAGGACTTGTGTCGCTAAAGTTTCGTCGGAACGAAGTTACGGAAAATTAACTTACGAACGGAGACGTAACAATATAAAACAGTGGAAACAGAATGGTGATTTATTGGGCAATTAGAAGCTATTATGGAGGCGTGCTACTACTACTAGTGTAATTATGAAGAAATCTGGAGTTGCACAGAGTCCATGAACATACTACCCTCAGAATATCGTCGTCGTTCTAAGGCCTATGGGCAGGGTTCGATATATTTATCGATAACCAGTTCTAGATTATAATGGAATCAAAACTGATAGTCATAAATTTAGAGTAGAAATATAAATGTGATACATTTATTTTTGTAGTCTTACCTCGAAAGTGTAGTTTGTCTGTGCTGCTGCCAGGTCCACTATTGAAAGTGGACACTTTGGTGACCTGTCTGTAGGTGAATTTTTGTTCTGTGACGTTTTATAACAACAATATTATGACCAAACTGATGCGGCTGATTACTTTTGTCCGCTTTTCAGATGACGATACAGTATCTAAATTTATTTTCACGTGAAGCAAATAATAAGTTTACACAATGTATCATAGAGAAAACAGCTGCATAGTATTTTGGCCCAACTTAAAGATATCAAGCCGTGTCGTACATCTGTTATCTATATATATTCTCAACGATGTATAGCTTTAGAATCTCTTAATAAGCTTCAACTTTTCATTACTGAAAAGTAACTCTAGAAAAACTTTAAAAACTGATTCACTAAGCCGACGCGCACTACACTAAGTTGACAAAAACTGTATCTACAAGTGGCAATTCCACTTCTCTCACTTCTTTAAATATGTCCGCGATGTTGTAAACTACATTTAATCCGTAGCACTAGTACAGAAAAGGAGAAACGGTACAACTACAAAGTTACAAATGTAATTGTAAAAAATATATCAACCAATGACAGAGATAACCTAAAATTGCGCTTATCAGCAAATTAAACAATTTTCAGTGTTATGAATAAACTGTATATTCAATTTAGACCCTGTTTAAAAACATTAAAGTACCATTTAAATCAATATCTTGGTATTTTCTCAATTAATATTGGTAGGCGGATGAGGTCTAGCCTTTGTTCAACTTTCACAGTTTAGTTTGGTTTGTTCCGAGTTCCGCGCAAAGCTACACGAGGGCTATTTGCGCTAGTCGACCCCAATTTAGCAGTGTAAGACTAGAGGGAAGGCAGTTAGTCATCCCCATCCACTGCCAGCTCTTGGGCTACTCTTTTACCAACAAATAGTGGGATTTACCGTCAGTTCATAACGCCCCCACGGCTGAAAGGGCGAGCATGTTTGGTGTGACGGGGATTCGAACCCGCGACCCTCATAGTACGAGTCGAGTGCCTTAAACCACCTGGCCATGCCGGGCCCCTACACGAGGGCTATTTGCGCTAGCCGACCACAATTTAGCAGTGTAAGACTAGAGAGAAGGCAGTTAGTCATCCCCATCCACTGCCAGCTCTTGGGCTACTCTTTTACCGACAAATAGTGAGATTTACCGTCAGTTCATAACGACTCCACGGCTGAAAGGGCGATCATGTTTGGTGGGACGAGGATTCGAACCCGCGACCCTCAGATTGCTAGTCAAGTTTTACAGTACTTCCATATAAAACGTACGTGATTTGTGGTTGTGTATAACTAATTGTAGAGAACGACTATAGCGTTTCACAAAAATGATGAAAGTCAATCCAAACAGTTCCATGTTGTCAGGGTGGGATACCTTAGATAAACATTATGTCACTTATGTCGTCTTTCGAAGCGCCTGGGTTGTTGAAATTCTTGTTTGAAACTTGTTTGTTTGTCTATTTAATGAGTTTAGAATTCTGGAAAATTTGTTCTCTAAAGAACAATATTTTATAGTATAGCTTTTCCATTAGATGTACTTATAGCCAACTGATATTTAATGTTGTTTTTTTTAATTTCGGAAAAAGTATTTAATAGGAGCGTCATTTGCGGGAAGTTGCCCCCTTCTTCCCTGCCAGAATTTGCAGGATAGAATATAATCACATAAAAGATGACAGAAGTACAGTTTTTATAACGTCATTAGTTTCCGATCTGACCTGGAAATTCCTTTAGTTGCAACGTGATGTAATCGCGCATGCTCAGTCTCTTTACTCCTCGGTTGGCATTCATTTATCTTTCGATTGGTAGTTCATAGTTATTAAGTGATTATCGTTGCCGCGTCGTCTTGTGGTTTTATAGACATTTCAATATTACATTAAATTCAGCAATATCATACTTAGATATCACGAGTGAAAGCAAAATTCTGGATATGATTGCGACAGCAAATGAAAAAGATAATAATTCAAACGACGGGGAGCCAACTAGAAGGGATCCACATTCGGAATAAGTTAACAATCCTGCCTAGGGATATCAGGAATACAATAAGTGCCTAGTTTTGCTCATTCAATATGCTATTTGGGACAAACACTGTTGTATATGATGACAAAGTCCCCCCCCCCACCTCACTCTACCTTCCACCATTATCAGAATGACTTCCTTGCCTCACAGCGTGAAATATTTACATTGATTTAAGAATTACATACCAAAGTAGATGAGGGTGGGGTGGAAGTAGGCGCGAGGATTAGAACGAGCATAAAAACAAGTAGAAAGGACAATACTGAGAGATCCGGCCCCTGTAGGTCATTAGGTCATGCGTGCAGAACACAAACATCAGCATCCTCTGGAACTTTGATTGGCACCAAGACTCCCAAATCTTTGGCGACAGTACTGGTCAGTGTTTTTTTTTTGCGTGGTTACATTTATAATAAAATTTTCTGTATAATCTCATACAAATTTGTTTTTCCAAGATGCATAACATTGTTAAGTAAAGCTGTGATATATTTAACTTCGGTGGTCTGTTCGTCAAGTTCACTGGAATTAATTTACAAACATGTATACTAGCTTCTTATTGAATCACTAGCTGAAGTACCCTTCCTTTGGACTGGTGAAATAAAAACTCGTTTGTAACAAACGATTGGAAATTGTGCTTTTGTTTTCTTTTCTTAACACAATAAACATTAAATGTGCAATAAAGGTACCAATATTGAAAAGAAAGAGATACTGTTTTCAATAATTCAATAGTGGATACATGGTTCATTCTAATGCAATATACAATATTAGCAGTTTTCCAAAATTAGATATGAAATTAGATGGGGGAGGGTCCAACCGCTCTCCATGATCTTCCTCATATCATCCCGTATCACTGTGTTAAGTTTGGTGCTGATTGATCAAGAAATGTGGAAACGTATAAGGAACACACACACACACACATATTGACGTTTATTTATATAGATATATTTACCGCCATGCGGGTTGTCCTGGCTAGAGAGCTTGCAGACACTCGCCGAAGACATCTCATAAGGTGTTTAGTGTTGGCACTCTTTGGACAGTCAACACTTCTAGCCAAACGGGTGGCGTAACGAAACGGATCACGTTGAACAGCCCATCTGGCCACAGAGCTTCCACTCTGTGCAATGGCTGCTGCAAACAGACCTGAAAAAAAAGTTAAAGATATCAAAGCAATCTAAAATCACAAAGAGCGTTTGTTTGTTTTTTAAGTTAAGCACAAAGCTACACAATGAGTTATCTGCCCACCACGGATATCGAAACCCGGTTTCTAGCGTTGTAAATCCGCAGACATACCGCTGTGCCACTGGGGGGCCACAAAGAGCGAAAACACCTGTTATCTTAAACGTTCTAAATTTTGTGAAATGTTTTAAGTTTTTTCACTGGATTCTTTAGTAACTTTTTTCGTATGGCATGACCATTTTGTATTACTTACCAAATTTTTGTATGTCACGGTGGATCTTTTATTTTTTCTCCAAAAGCTTCCTAATCGTCTTAACTGTGATGGTACACGAACTAGCAAATTACTCGTGAAAATTCAAAGGAAATAACAACTATGCTTAACATTTTGAACCTCCCATTTACAAGTTCTTGTTAGGTTTGTAACCAGTTCTGAGTACCTAAAATCTTTTTGTCCCCAATTATGGGCCCCAGTATGAAAAGTTCTAAAATCTAAATGTACACATTTGTTTTAAACGATGCCTTACTTGTTAATTCCAATTTTTCACGTAAATAATTCTAAATTTCTTTCATGAGGGGGGTATTTGGAAATGTCCATAATCTGTTGTTGTTGTTTGTTATTTAAAAAAAAAAACTACACAAAGGGCTATCTGAGCTCTGCCACCACGGGTATCGAACCCCGGTTACTAGCGATATAAGTCTACAGACATGCCGCTGTGCCATTAGGGGGGGGGGGTCAAAAATCTGAATTTAGATTGTTTTGAAAGACTTATAATGCCAATTCTAAAGCAAATGAAATCAACCAAACCTGTCAAAAACACTTAATACTCGACTTTTGGGACTTCTCAAAACTCTAAATAAATATTTCTATTGCTGATGTTTTGTGGGGATGAAGAGTATACAGACAAATTTCAAAACATTTTTGTCCCAAACTGTGCGAAAATTGAAAAAAAATCAAGTGAACATAGATACATACAATTCAGAACGGTATGTCTGCCGATATATACCGCTGGTGGGCAGAGCACAGATAGTCCATTGTGCAACTTTGTGGTTAACTATAAACACACAAACAGTATCATTATAAAGATAATTCTTCTCGTTACAATTTTGATGACGAGGAACCTACTTTTAGAAAATAAAGTTTGGAGACGGCTTGAATGGGTAATGGGAATAACGATTACAAGTAACAAATGTACAACGTTTCAACAAGCTTTTGTACCTGATGATGACAAAAGCTTGTCGAAACGTTATACATTTGTTATTTATAATGAAGTTTCTTTCATTGGCCATTCAAGCAGCCTTCTAACTTTAAACTCACAACAATAATTATAGTATTTTGGCACTTGTGTATAAAGTTAAAATCATAAATAATATTCAACGTTAAACTGGTACACAATTAAAAACATTT